TTTTTAAGAAACTATGATTGAATATAAATTATTAATTTAAATTTGTTATAAAACTAGAGGAAAAGAGAGAGAATAGAGAAAATGTTTCTCTTAGGTGCAATTTTCATTATACCTGAAGCTCCTATTTATAGGAAACTTTTGATGGCACAACCGTAATAATACAATTACATCGAGAGCAAAATAGTCATTCACATACATTATTTTATAAATATTTCACAACAAAATTTTATTATTCATCCAGCTCAACGCTTTTTATAAGAATAGAGAATCGGCGCAAGAGAGTGCGGTCCCACGCATATTAAGCGCACCATACGAGGGTGAGCCTAGGTGCACCATAGTGAAGTTCCGTCCCAAAACCAATTTGGAACTTCACTATGGTGCACCTAAGCTCACCCTCTTATGGTGCACTTAATATGTGTGGGACCGCACTCTCTTGCCCCGATTCTCTATTCTTACATGGTATCAGAGCCAGGCCGACTCCTGCCTGGGTTTCTATCTCTACCCGGCCAACTCCGGCCAGGGACTCTATCTCTGCCTGCTCTGGGCTTGGGCTTATGAAGGACTCACAAGTGAGGGGGCGTGTTGGAGTATCACTTGTGAGTTGTCCCACATTGATTCTATAGAGAAAATGAGTCTAGTATATAAGCCAAGTGGGTTACTCCTCTCATCACCAATTGGTTTTGGGATGGAACTTCACTATGGTGCACCTAGGCTCACCCTCTTATGGTGCGCTTAATATACGCGGGACCGCACTCTCTTGCCCCGATTCTCTATTCTTACACTTTTTAATATCATTAATATAATTAAATAATATCAACGATATTTTACAATAAAATTCACTACCATTCACTTACACATTTTAACTACTGATCATTTAGGGTGTGATTGGATATAAACTTAATAAAAATAAGAAATAAACAGTTAAAACTCGAATTTACTCAACTTTAATTCAATCTCACTATTTTCAATTCTCCCATATATAATTCCCGAATGTGCTGAACCTAAGTGGCAGACTAGCATGCTTTGGGATTCTATGTTTAAAAAAAAAATCATATTTTTTCATTTGGCTCGGATGAATCTCAATCTAAAAATAAACAAGTATGAAATAACTATAATTATACTAGATATTTATAGTATCTTTCAAGAGACTTGATATTACATTTCCTATTTTAGACGTGATTTATAAGATAAAAATTTTTTTTCACAAATTTTCTTTTTTCTTCATCTTTATTAAAAATTATAAAAAAATACTAACTTAAATTATAAATAGATTTACAACTTAATAATTGTATAATTATCCATTTTTAATATATAAAATTAATCATGTATGAATGAGCTTCGATTTAACACTTATAATTTACATACACAATATATATTCATCTTTATAATAAAAACTAATTACCTATTAATATTAATTAAAAATAAAAAATTTAAATCAATTTAACTGCAAAGTTGTTAAATGACATAATTTAAAAAATATATATATATATATTATAAGATGGTAAGTCGTATAAGTAATGCGCGTTGTTTTAAATATAAGTAGTAATATAATAAAAAGCATTTAAAATAAAATAATTTTTTATTATTAATTTTAATATTAAATATAAATTTCTAGCAAATTTAATACACGAGTATTGTACTGATTGAGAATTAATTCAAATATTATGATATTTCTTAATTATTTTATCGTTATAGAAAAATCATTTTTTTTTTGCTTTTAAATAATTTGTTTATTTGATTTGAAAATCTCTTCCTATATAGTAATTCAAAACGTGTTGAGTTTAGGTGGCAGATTCTCACGTTTCGAATGCTGACATGGCGAAAATCTATGCTTGGTGATGTTGTTTCTATATTATTTTTGCTTTTGGAGTTAGGTTTGGTATTACACATAAATAACTGTACACACATATTCATTAACTCAACACTCATGTTGTACATGAGTATTAGTACTAGTGATTTTTATTTTTGGATGACCTTAGTTAGATTACCTTTAACGGTGACCCAATCTAGTGGGTCACCAATTAAAATTAGAAAAAAAAAAATTGAAAAGAGAAAAGAAGGTCGTGAATATTTAGTGGGTGATTGATTATGAATTCAACTAGTAAAAAAACTAGTTTTTTTTTTTTTTTAACTATAGTTAAGTTTGAAAAAAAGTAGTATGATTAGTTGTTAGTGGATATATTAAAATAATATTTAAATTAAAATAATTAAAGTTGATTTGATGTAAAAGTAGGAGAAAATGATTGGAAGTGATGTTTAGTTAAAATTATGTGAGTGGATGAATAATGAATTAAAGTTGATGTGATATGTAATAATGATTGGTTGATATTATTTAATTATATTAATAATATTGGAAATAGTGGAGTTGAGTTAAAGTTGAATTAAATTTGAGTTTTGAGTTAGATTTTTAATGTAGAATTCACAAACAATCATGCCCAGCGACCCAAGTCACATTGTGACCTTGGGTTGCGACCTGAAAATGGGACACTTGTCTCATTTTGATTGGATAAATGTATTTTTTTTGTTTAAAAAAATAAAAAAAGATATTAAAATTCGTAATTTTTCATTCTCTACAAATAGAGACCAAACTTGATATATTTTGGAATAAAATTATAATTTTTAAATAAATTAAATTAAAATAAATATTTAGATTGAGTTGAGTTGGGGATAAAAATTAATTAAGTTGGAGATTGAGTTGTGTATGTGAATGAGAGAGAAATAATCTTTGTTGGTTGAGTTGGCTGGAGATAAATATTTTAGTGGTAATGGTGCTTTTTAGCACTTAAGTGAAAGCACAAATGAAATGTAGCCAGTTTTTTAGGAAAAATGAAATCTAGCCATTTTGCTAGGTAAAAGTACATAATTGCCCTTGGACACATTTTTTTTCATTTTTCCCCCTTTTCATTATTTTTCCTCATTTTCTTCCATAATTTTT